CCAGACAGAGCACAAACCCAGTATTTAATTTTTATTTAACATGGCCAAAGAATTAAAACACTATAGTGAAATTTACTTTTCTCCCAGTTTATTGAAATAAAAAAGTTAACAATAATACACTTTACAATGGATGAGAAGAAAACAATTGGTTGATATATATCATTGTTTATCAAGAACTTGGTTAAAAGATGAAAGAGACAAAAAGAGATGAGAAACTAGGGCATAAAACCCAACAGCAGAGTTTGTGCCTGGTCACGTGCAAGAGTTCTTATATTCCCCAAAAGAAAAACAATATTAGCTAGGTGGTAGTGGCACCCACCTTTGATCCCAGCATTTGGAAGGCAGAGGCAGGCAGATCTCTGTAAGTTCAAAGACAGCCTGGTCTACAGAGCTAGTTACTGAATACACTGCTTCAATCATTTTGGAAGTAGAGATGATCCTTGTTTTGTAGTTCTCCCTAGAACCTTTTTGGGAGCACAGAGAAGCCACTATGAGAACCAGGAATGTTAATCTCACAAGGGTGTCTCCTCAATGGAGGAGATACAAATCCAACACCTGCATCCAGAAAGCTGAGAGTGGAGGTTAATGACCTAATGAGCCTTTTGCTATCTGTGGGGACACACCTCACCCTAATTCCCCAGAATGATTATTGCAAACTCTTCCCTCCCTAGACCCATGCTTAGGGTCACCAGTATTTTGTGGCCCGCTGACCTTTATACTACCAGTCAGAGACCACACTAGATTCTAGGTCTTTTTGTTTAGCTATAAGAATTACCTTTGTAGCCAGGCGGTGGAGGCGCACGCCTTTAGCCCCAGCACTGGGGAGGCTGAGGCAGGCAGATCTCTTTGAGTTCAAGGCTAGCCTGGTTTACAAGAGCTAGTTCCAGGACAACCTCCAAAGTCACAGGGAAACCCCATCTCGAAAAAAAAATCCAAAAGAATCTACCTTCATGTTCACATGCACTTTGTAAAAGAATTTCTATGAAGTTATACTTTATGCCTTATTGTGCACATGTAACTGGAGTGACTGTTGCCTAGAACCTTTCCCCCTGACTGTATTGTTTTAAATATGATGATAATGAACTGCCTGGCAATAAACTCCTTGAAGTCTGATCCAGATTGGCAAATCAATCTGCACAGAGTTTTTACTCTTATCTCTCTCTCTGCTGGGTTCACTTCCCTGCCATGATACCTGCTGGGACCCCCTCAGAACCTAGAGTTGGCTTTCTTTCTTTCCTTCTAGTATGTACATATGCATGTGTGCTTGTACACAGAGGCCAGAACTTAACAATGGGTTTCTTGATCCCTTTCCTTCAGACAAACCTACCTTGAACCCAGAACTCACCGCTTCTGCTAGTATAGCTAGTTTATTTCAGAGATCCTGTCTTTACGTCCTGGAATTACAGGTGTGCCGCCATGCCTACCTGGCATTGTACACCAGTGCTGGGGTTTGAAATGTGGTCCTCACAATCGCTTTTTTATTTACTGTACCATCTGCACAAACTAATGCTTTATACATGCAGGTAAACACCCTACCACTGAGCTACATATGCTCCTACCAGAAAATACTGAGATCACACACGATTCCCTAGGGCTGGAGATAGCTCAGCAGTTAAGAACACAGGCTGCTCTTCCAGAGAACCCTGGTTCAATGCCCACATAGAGGCACACAACTGTCTGTAATCCAGACCCAGGGGATCCAATGCTATCTTCTGGCTTCGGTAAACCCGAGCATACTGCACACACATGCACAGACAAAACATGCAAACACATACATTTAAAATAAATAAAAAAACAGATACAACTCCTTAAAGAACCAAGGGCAGGTGATGGAGCAATGGCTTGGGGCTAAGAGCACTCGATGCTCTTGCAGAGGACCTGGGTTCCGTTTCCAGCACCCACATGATGGCTCACAACTGTCTGGAAATGGAGCTCCAGGGGATCTGACACCCTCTTCTGGTCTCCCCAGACACCAGGTACTCATACATACAGGAAATAAAAACGCTGTGTTGGTTAGTCTTTCTATGAACCTGACACACACTTGAGTCATTTGGCAAAAAAAAAAAAAAAAAAAAAAAAAAAAAGTCAACTGATTACCTCCATCAGACTGGCCTGTAGCAACTCTGTGGGGTTATTTTCTTGATTTACTGACTTACGTAGGGCCTAACCCACCACGGCCAGCACCATCCCCGGGCAGGCAGGTGGGTCTGAGCTATGTTAAGAAAGCAAACCGAACAAGCCAGGAAGCATTGTTCCTCCATGGCCTCTGCTTCAGTCTAGCTTCCAGGGATCCATGACAGACTATAAACTATAAGCTGAAATAACACCCCCCCAAGCTGCTTCTGATTATGTGTTTTATCTCAGCAATAGAAAGCAAACTAAAACACCACCCATATAAGTAAAATCAATTTTTCTAAAGTAAGAGTAATTAGTCATGTACATAAATACTAGGCAGTATGTGTCACATGAAAGACACAAAATAATTGGAATTGAATGGCTAAGAGGCTATAGTTCAGGGGTAGAGTGTTAAACTAGTATGCACGAGGTCCTATGTTTAATTCAGTAAAACAAAAAATTAATACTGGGCTGAGCTAGATTTAAACACCACAATGCTATAAAGAAGTATTCCAATTTGAATTGAAAAATATTTGTTATTTAGGAAAATTAGACAATGTGGCTGAGATCACACAGGTACTAAGCAACAGAACTGAGACTAAAGCCCAACTCTAGTTTTGGAAACGGAAAACCTAGAAAGATGATAAAAATCACTGCCTAATTTCTTGAATGCCAGTTCAAGGCAGTCTGAATTTTATACTGTAAGAAACAAGGAATATTAAGTTTCAAAGAAGGGACAGAATACCATTCTAGTGTTCTGGAAGGATTAAAGCACTGTAAAGCAGAGCTTCTGGAGTGTAGTTCTAAGACAACCCCATTGGATAAAGTCAACAAGGAAAGAAAATTCTCACATCTATAGACTCAGAACTCCCGATTTTCCTACTCTACCTCCTAAGTGCTGGGCTTACAGTTGTGTACTGCCACACAAATGGTTTAACTACTGAGGACAGATAGAAGCGACTCCACTAAGCTTGAGTGCCCAACTAGTTTTGAACCCGATTACGTTTTCAAAAGTTGCAACTCCAAACTTCTAGATTCTGCCAAGGATTTGCACAGCACCCTTCCAAATAAAGGTCTCCATTTTCCTCCAGAGTGTTGCAGAGGCAGCAGCCTTCTTCTTTATTTTAGTGAAACACACACAAAACAGATGTAGCTCAGAGGCCTGCATTCCGTGGACAAGGTTCAATTCCTAGCACTTCAAGCAAAACAACTCTTTACTCCAAATTTCTGAGACTTGTTGAACCTAACGACTCTCATAACAGATTCTGTACATACCTTACTGAGTTTCAAAAGAATACTGAGTTTTGCCAAGTTTACATCAACAATAACCTAACTCACCTTTATCTTTGTATTGCCACCCACCGCTTCCTTCTGCAAGCTAGTCCTGGTATTTCAAGTTGACAGATGTTTCCCCTGGTTAGAACATTCTGCGTATGCAATTTCACTCTAAGGCCTAAGGGTCAAAGTCCCAGCCAGCATACACTAAACATTACACACCCCCAGCCCTCTTCAGGTGTTAGTTCACGACTTATCTAAAGCCTCAGACATCTACCAACCAGACAATGTCTTTCTTCTAAATCTGTCAAGTTTTCACATTTACACGCTTTCTATTGCAAGATAAATTACAAAATTATTTTGTTTTTTAACTTATTAGTCGAGGAAAATAAACATTACTCATAGACTCTGATCATATTGCTGCGTCTGACTGACTGGAGGAAAAAAAAACACGGAAAACCAATTCAAGACATGAACTACCAAGTAATATCCAAGAGAGAGACTGGTGTCACCTGGTTACATCTGGAAGCCACTGGGCAGTTAAACTGGGCCACTCCAGGGCATGGGTCATCACCAAATCATAAAGAAAAGGGGTATTCTTCTTCCATATTTTGTACTCTTCATTGATCACACGTTCTTCCACCGCGTCGTCAAAGGCAGCTGAAATGTTTTTAAAAAGCAAGTTAGCGAACAGAAACGGAACACGAATAAACCTCTTGTAGCCGCCAGCGCAGCGACCCGGTTCTGCTACTGAAATGGAGATTCGTCTTAATCTCCTAGGTCGCAGGCACCAAAGCTACTCTCGGCCGCGGAGGGCCGGAAGTGCTCGGGCCACCCCAGCCAGACACTCCGTTACTCCTCTGGGGCGATGCTGCCCAGCTTCGAAGCACACTGGCGCGCCAAGTCCACAGAACCCAAAAGGAGGCCTGCGCATCGGGCCTGGAGGTGGGGAGCGGCGTCCCGAGTCCCCGCAGGCAGAGGGACCGACGGGGAGCGTCGCACTCAACCGGGCCCGGGCGCTGGCGTCGGCCCGGATCCGCCGCCGCCGAGGAGCCAGCGCGCCGTTATCCCGCCCCGCGGGGAGCTCCCTTCTCAAGCCGGAGTTGTCGGGATTGGGCTCGCCAGAGTCGGGCCTGCTCTCCGTATTAGGCCGCGTAACAAGCCACGACACAGCCCCGCCACCCGGCGCCTCCTTCCCGAGCCCGCCTCGGCACACTTACCTTCCTTGTCAGCCATGGCGGCAGGCGAGCCGGGAGGGGTTGGGGGATCCCGGGGTCGTGCGTTGCAGGAGGGGCGGGGAGGCTACGGGCGCTTGCTCGGCGCGCGCGGCCTCTATTGTTTCCTGCGGCCCGTGCGTGGGGGGCCGGCTCGCGTGCCTTCGCGCCAACATTGGCCAATGGGAAAGCGCTGGCCGGCGGGGTGGGCGGAGCATCCGCGGCCGCGGCCAATGAAGACGCGCACAGCCGCTTTTCGCGGGCCCGAGGCGCGCGCTCCGCCCCTTCCCCCCACCGCAGCCCGGAGCTCGCTTCCACCGATTGCGCGCGCGCACCGCCTGCTGGCATGAGTCCCGTCCGGGTCACGTGACGGGTTTAGCCTTCACACGCTCACGCGCAGCCATTTTCTCAGAGGGCCGTTATGCTAAGGGATCAGGGTACCGAAAGAAATTTGAAGTGTTTCCGGGTCTGGTTAGCAACTCCGAGAAGAAAATGCATCACCGTTTAGACTTAACAGGTGCCTAGCTCAAGGTGCCTTTTAACTTATTCCCTTAGTTTTCAGAAAGAACTAGTAGTGATAAGTGCAGATAACAGGGCACATATTACCACTTGTATTTAAAACATGCTATGGAAGAGGCAGGACCTAGGCTGGAAGTAGCCAGCGATAATATCCTTCCGAGAGTGGAGTCCTGGTCGTTTTAGACCGTCCTCCAGGGGGTGGGGTGTAGGGCGGAAGTTATGGCGCAGGGCCGAAGTCTAGCCGCCGAAGGGCGGAAGTAGAGTCCCGAAATCTGCAATCATGGCTCAAGAAGAGGAAGATGTTAGAGATTACAATTTGACAGAGGAACAGAAGGCGATCAAGGACAAGTATCCTCCAGTCAATCGAAAGTATGAATGTGAGTAGGTGGCTCACATCTCTTGAATACCGGCAACCTCGGCGGTTTACCTGCAGCTTCCTGTCTCACCCATTTCTTTGCCCCACAGGTGCTCCTGGTATAATCTCAGTGTGCCCGCATTTTAGGTCGTTTTGTTCCGAATATAGGGGGCCGGTGAAGAAAAAGATCACTTTACTCGAGAATGAAACCCTTAAATTCCCCTAAAGGTCTACGTGTGCCTAAATCACGTTTATTTTCTTCTCGGGGATATAGCTCAGTGGTACAGCGCTTGCCCGACCCTCATTTTTCTAAATTATACTAGCGCTCCAGTTGTATTTCGTTTTCTGGGTTGTCCTGGAGTTTTTCCCAGTAGTGGACTAGGTGACCACGTTAGAGCACTGGGGGAGTAATCGAGAGATGTGTGTTTGTCTCCACAGCCCAAGGTTGGATTTTATTGTGTACTTAATATATTTCATGTTAAAAAATATTTGAAATAAAAAATACACTCTAAATTTTGACAATAGTCATTTTTCACTGGCCTGGATCCCACTATGTGGACCAAACTTAGAACGATTCTTCCTGTGTCTGCTCCCCTGGTGCTGGAGTCACAGACTGGAGTCACCACACCTGGCCCGGGTTTTTTGTTTTCTTTGGTTTTTTTCTGAGGCAGGGTTTCTACGTGTAACAGCTCTGGCTGTCCTGGAACTCGCTTTGTAGACCAGGCTGGCCTCAAACTCACAGATCTGCCTGCCTCTGCCTCCCAAGTACTGTGACTAGCCTGGATTATTATAGCTGCTAAACAGATACACCTGTGTGAGCAGCCCTAGTTTTGAGATGAACGGTCCTGTCGTCTTAGAATGTTCTCTCAGTTCCTTTCTAGCCTCTTATCCTTGAATCCATTTTCTAGTGTAACACAGAATGCAATTTTCTGTGTTAGAGGCTCTTATGAGTAGACTCACGCTGTCTTTTACAGTTGATGGGAGCTTCTTCACCCCATCAAAGGTACCACAGGCAGACACAAATTGGAGTAAATTAACTACTGATGGTGAAAGCTGAGATTCATTCCAGTTCACACAGAGATTGTAAATTTTCAAGGAGAATGAGGAGGGCAGAGCAAGGGCTCCTAAAGTCAGAGAAGTAACAAAGAACAAAAGATTAGTCATTACCATTGCTGTAGAGGCAGCAAGGCCAAGGCCAGTTTTGTCTGTTCCCTGGCAGTTTTGGAAGTTTGAGTTCTAGCCTCCCACAGACTTGAGACAAGAGGCCTGGCTGTGGGAATGATAACATTTCAAAGAACCAGGTCCTTGAGAAAGATTGGAGCTGGAAAGGATACATATTCACAATTTTCTTTTTTTTTTTTTTTTTTTTTTTTGGTTTTTCGAGACAGGGTTTCTCTGTATTGTTTTGGAGCCTGTCCTGGAACTCACTCAGTAGAACCAGGCTGGTCTCGAACTCACAGTGATCCGCCTGTCTCTGCCTCCCGAGTGCTGGGATTAAAGGCGTGCGCCACCAACGCCCGGCACATATTCACAATTTTAAGGCTTCTTTGGTACTTACTGTAAGATAGGGAGATTAGGGGCCTTCTAAAAAGCGAGGGCTAGAACAAGGAGGGAATTCTCCAACCTTCATTAGGCTTTTCTCGGGCAAGCATTGTAACTAAGACTTCTTTATCTTGGGATGCGGCCTTATGCTGCTAGAGGCCATGCTAGAATCTGGTCAAATGCTGTTATGTACTGAGAGTTCTGCAGTTCCCAACAATATTTTAAAGATCTGTGTTAATGCTTATTTATTTTGTTGTAGCAGATATTGAATTTGGGGTAATTCTCTACCCCTCTACTGACCTCTGTTCCTAACCCCCCATCCTTTTAAAATTAATTTCATTGGGGTCTGTGATCTTTTGAAACATGTTCTGTGTACCTTCATACTTGAGCTCGATACATGTACTAGACTGGCCTCAAGCTGACCTTCCTGCCTAAGCCTCCAGAAACCTCAACTGTAGTATCAGTACTACTTGCAAATAACATTGTGGTCTCTCATTAGTCATATGTTCTCTATGGATTTCAGGCCTCTCTCTTCATCCTTTCCTTCTCTGCTTCATCTTCTGTTCATGTTCAATATTAAATGTAGAACATTGCACATGTTAGGCAAGTACTCTACCACTGAGCCACATCCTAGCCCCTTCTGTTTACGAGTCAAGGGGTTATATTAAACGACCTCCAAGAATGCCTGCTAGTGGGAAGAATTGCTGGTGGAAGTGGCATACATCCTTAATCACAGCACTTGGGACACCGGCAAGGGACTGCCAGCCTGGTCTGTGTAGTGAATTCCAGGATTACAAAGTTAGACCCCATCTCAAAGTAAAACACGTAGAACGAATTGAAAACCATGGGATAAGCGAAGAACATACTGAATAGGAGGAGACGTCAGTCACAGCAGAGCATGCAGAAGCGCTGTTGTGGTCCAGTCTTCACTGTGGGAACAGCAGGGAACATTCATTGTACATCTTGTGGAATTGGCCTTCCCATTCAGGTTAGACTAGCTAGTCAGGAAAAGTAACTGATGCCAAAGCCAGCATATAAGACACAGAACACACGGGAGGTCTTGCTGTGTCACCAGGGTAGCCTTGAACTGGGTTCAAGTAATCTTCCAGCTTCCAACTCGAGCAGCTGGGACTGCAGGAACCCATTGCTGCACCCAACTTAGACATTTTAAGATACCCAGAAGAAGGTGGTGGTGCATGCTTGCAATCCCAGCACTCCAGGTGGAGGCTGAGGCAGGAGGATCAGACCAGCCCGGATTGCATTGGGAGACCCTGTGTCTAAAACTAAAGCAAAATGAAACAATACAACTGGAAGACTCTGCCTTGGTACTTTCCAGAATCTATCATTCATTTAAATATAAACCAAATGGGTAGGTTGTTTGTTTATAAAATAATACCAGGAAAGAGTTAACTTTATTGAGTAACTACATAGCAAAAAGTCTACCTCATGTTTTCCTACTTTCAAGAATTCTTTGAACATGTTTATTTTTCATGTGTATGAGTGTTTTGAGGGATGTATATATGTACACCACACACATACTTAGTACCAAGTAAGGCACCAGATCCCTGGAACTGGAGTTACAAGTGATTGTGAACCCCCATTTGATGCTGCAAATCCATGTCCTCTGCCAGACCAGCAAGCGCTCATATTTGATGAACTATCGCTCCTATACCGTCTTTTTTGTTTGCTTTAACTTTACTATATGTATGTGATATGTCAGTGTATGTATGCATGTTCACGGTGAGAGTGCACATGTGCATAGAAGTTAGGACCACCTTGAGGTCAGTTCTTACTTTTCTGCCTTCTTTGAGACAGGATTTCTTGGCCACTGGTAAGCCAAGCTAGCTGGTCCAGGATTATCTACATCAGTAGTTCTCAATCTTCCTAATGCTGTGACCCTTTAGTATATTCCTCATGTTGTGGTGACCCTAACCATAAAATTATTGCTACTTCATAACTGTAATTTTGCTACTGTTATGAATCATAATGTAAATATGTGTGTTTTCTGATGGTCTTAGGCAGCCCTGTGAACCACTGATGTAGAGTCTTGTTTCCTGTAAACATGCTAGGATAATAGAGGCTTGTGTTGCCTTTTCCGACTTTCATGGGCTCTGGACATCAGAACTCTTGTCACAGCCTTGTCCATCATGTGCTTTTACCTACTAAGCCATTTCTCCAGAAAGGAGAGAGAAGGATGCATGTATTTATGTGTCACAGTATAAGTATGGAGGTCAAAGGACAATTTTCAGGAATCAGTTTTCTCCTTCCACTAGGTGGTCCAGTACAGTAAGTGTCTTTAGCCACTGAGCCATCCCCCTTGCCTTTTTTTTTTTTTTTTTAAGATGGAGTGTTACTGTATACCCAGATTGTCCAGGGCAGGACTGAGAATTGTGATCTACCTACCTTAGCCACTGAAGTACTAGGATTACAGGTGTGAGCCTAATATCCCGCTGGGATGATGTTCTTAATGAGTAGCAATGAACTAGAGGTCTTCTTTAACCGCTGTTTCTGCTTGCGGCCTGTCAACACCCTAGAGTATTTTTGTATGTTTTAAGAGTCAAGGTCAGTGGCTTACACATTTTTTTCTTTCTCCCTCAGATTTGGATCATACGGCTGATGTTCAGTGAGTACAGCAAGAGTTATTCCTGGAAACTCTGTCTTTAATTTTTTGTACTTATTTTTATTTTATGTGCATTGGTGTTTTGCCATGGGTGTTGAGTGTTGTAATTTAAAAAAAAAAAGTGGGACAAGAGAAAAAGATGCCATGTGACAGAGCTTACCTGAAGTGTGACAGAGCTTACCTGAAGTGTGACAGAGTTTACCTGAAGTGTGACAGAGCTTACCTGAAGGTTTTTTTTTTAATTAGGGGAAAGGGAATGGGAAAAAGGGAGGGGAGGGGGGACACTGACCTCTGGAGACAGGAGCAACAGAGGAGAAGGGGGGAACAGAGACAGTCCAAGGAGCAGAGAGAGAGAGGAACAGAGAGAGAGAGAGAGAGGAAGGAACAGAGATAAAGAGAGAGGAACAGAGAGAGAGAGAGAGAGAGAGAGAGAGAGAGAGAGAGAGAGAGAGAGAGAGAGAGAGAGAGGAATGGGAGGTGGGCAGGGCTCTTTTAAAAGGGAACATAGTGACTGTGCACAGGTGGTGCTCTTAGTGGCTGCAGCTGAGGATGTAGCCTGTCAGAACCCCAAAGGCAGGCCAGTACAGATGCCTGGATACTAACATTGGGTCCCCTGGAACTGGAGTTACAGACAGTTGTGAGCTGCCATGTAGGAGCTGGAGTTGATCGGGGTCCTGTGGAAGATCAGTCAGTTCTCTTAACCACTGAGCCGTCTCTCCACCCCCCATGTCTTAATTTTTTTAAAATAAAAATGCTTAACTACATTTACTTTTTAAAGATTTATTTTATTGCCAGGCCATGGTGGCACACACCATTAATCCCAACACTTAGGAGAAAGAGACAGGCAAATCTCTATGAGTTTTGAAGCCAGCCTGGTCCACAGAGTGAGTTCCAGGACAGCCAGGGCTACACTGAGGAACACTGTCTCAGGAGAACAAACAAAATATTTATTATGTGTAAGGATATACTACCTGAATGTATATATGTGCACTATATGTGTTCCTGGATCCCGAGGAGGGCAGAAGAGGTGGTCAGATGGGACTGAAGATAGAGATGGTTGTGAGCCACCATGTGGGTACTGGGACTAGAACCCGGGTCCTCTGCAAGAGCAATGACTACTCTTAACCTCTGAGCCAACTCTCCACCTCTATCTTTACTTTTTTTGAGATAGGCTTTCACTATGTAGCCCTTACTGGACTGGAATTTGTTATATAGATATGTAGATCAGGCTGGCCTCAAACTCACAGAGATCCACCCTCCTCTGCCTCCTGAGTGTTGGGCTTAAAGGTGTGCTCCTATGTAATTTTTTGGTGTGTGTGTGTGTGTGTGTGTGTGAGAGAGAGAGAGACAGACAGACAGACAGACAGACAGACAGACAGACAGACAGGTGTGGAGAAGACGTAAGTGCTACAGTGTATGTGTGGAGGTCAGAGGACAAATTGGGGGAGTATGTTCTTCCCTTCTGTCACAGTGTCAGGCTGGGTGGCAAGCACCCTTACTTATCGAGCCGAGTTCCTGGCCCAAGTGTATTTCTTTCTCTTTTTATTTTGATGTGTTCTAAATGTAAAATGATGGTGTAAAAGCATCCAATTTGGGTGCCTTTAAATTAGACATTTAGTCTTATATTATCAAACTGATTTTCTTTTGACTTTGTGTGGAATTTTCTCTCTTGTAGTGAATCATATTGTTGCATATACTGTGGCCCCTTTTATTATTGTTTGTCTTAATTTTAACTCTTTTGTTTTTATTTTTTAGGTTACATGCATGGGGGGATACTCTTGAGGAAGCATTTGAACAGTGTGCCATGGCCATGTTTGGTTACATGACAGATACTGGAACTGTGGAACCCCTCCAAACAGTAGAAGTAGAAACTCAGGGTAACTGATTTATTCTCAAGGAAAAATTAATATGTGGGTATATAATGTTCTGCATGATCTGAACATATTGTCACAGTAAGAACACGTTGAATTATGAATCTTTAAATGAGCCGAAGAACTTCATTGTACTTTAACCAAACTTTTAGAGACCAGAGTCACTAAACATCATCTTTGACCCTGTGTAGGAGATGACTTGCAGTCTCTACTGTTTCACTTTTTGGATGAGTGGCTTTACAAGTTCAGTGCTGATGAATATTTCATACCCCGGGTAAGCACAAGGCTTTCTTTCTTTGCTGAACAGGTAGGCTCTTTGTTCATATTGTAAAGCTGAACTAATAATTGAAGATAAGGTTTATGATTCAAAAACTAATCCATATAGATATGTGAGGTAATGTTGATTTGTATAAGTTATAGATTTTTTTTTTTAGAGACAGGGTTTCTCTGGGGCTTTGGAGGCTGTCCTGGAACTAACTCTTGTAGACCAGGTTGGTCTTGAACTCACAGAGATCTGCCTGCCTCTGCCTCCCAAGTATAGATCTTTTTAAAAAGATCTTTTGTTTATTTTTAGCTTTTTAATTTTTATTTATTTATTCATTTATTTATTTCTTTTTTTGAGACAGGGTTTCTCTGTATTGCTTTGGAGCCTGTCCTGCAACTTGCTCTGTAGACCAGGCTGACCTGGAACTCACAGAGATCCGCCTGCCTCTGCCTCCTGTGTGCTGAGATTAAAGGCGAGCACCACCGATGCCACCACCACCCATTTTTGGTTTGTTTTCAGACAGGGTCTGCTCCTTATCCCAAGCGGCCCTGGCCCCTGGCCCCTCAACTGAGTTCAAGTATTGAGTTATAAAGCATTTGCTGATTTAATTGGCTGACCCCTTCTGTCTCTAAGTAATTATTGTAGCTTGGTTGGAAGAATGCTATCTTAGCATTCCCAAAGCCCTGGGTTCAGTCTCTAGCCCTCCATAAAATCGATCATAGTGCACATGCTTATGATCCCACACTGCAGAGATGAAGGCGGAAGGGTCCAGAATGCATGATTATCCCTGCCTATATTTTGAGGTTCACATGAGTTAATGGAAGACCTTATCTCAAAAATATTTTAAAATAAAGTTAGTTAATTAACTAGTTAATAATTAAGTTAAATGTTAATTTTTTTATCTTTAGGAAGTGAAAGTGCTTAATATTGATCAAAAAAATTTCAAGTTACGGTCAATTGGGTAAGTTTTGAAACTAGTTAAGTAGTGGGTCATGAAAGATGTTAAAATATTTTCTCCATCAACTCCATTGCACAAAACGACAGATACAAATGGTGAGTCTGGAGACCTGTACTTGGCTAGACCTTGGAGGTTGAGCTGAGGGAGACCCCTAGAGTGTGAGCTCACCTCAACTGTGGAGACTTGGGAACTTGTGAAAATAAAGTTCTTTCTGATTGTAAAGCTCAATTCCCAGTTTTAAAAATGGTATTTGCCTGCATATGTTTGTTTACCACATCTGTGCCAGGTGCCTGCAGAGGCCAGAAGAGGGCGCCAGATCTCCTATAACTACAGTTACAGGCATTTGAGAGCTGCTGTGTGAGTGCTGAGAACTGAACCTGGATCCTCTGGAAGAGCAGCCAGTGCTCTTAACCACTGAGCCATCTCTCCAGTTCTCAATTATTTTTATGTTTTTTTTTTAAAGTGTATTAGCCGGGGAGGTGGGGGAGTGAGGGGGGCTGGCACACACCTTTAATCCCAGCACTCAGGGCAGAGGTTGGTGAAATCTGTGAGTTCGAGACCAGCCTGGTCTACAAGAACTAGTTCCAGGACAGCCTCCAAATCCATAGAGAAATCCTGTCTTGAAAAAACCAAAAAACAAACAAACAAAAAAGTGTATTTATAATTGCAGCTGGCCTCAGTTTAGATGATCCCAGCAACTATTTTTTGTTTTTTTCAAGACAAGGTTTCTCTGTATAACCCTGGCTGCCCTTAAACTCAGATCTGCCCTCCTTTGCTTCCCAGTGCTGAGATTAAATGTGTACTATCACACTCAGCATGATCCCTATTTTGTTAGGAACAGCTAAAACATCATAATCTAGAGCTTGTGGTCATGTACTTTGTTCTCCACTAGACCTATGCAATGCAGTTTCCTTCCCAGTTCCTCCATCTCTTTCTGATTCTCCAGTTTGGGATCACATTTATAAGGCTTACTTTAAAATGTAGAGAATAAAATAGAGAATCATAGAAATAATAATCATGTTTTTACTTTCCTTCTCAAGGTGGGGAGAAGAATTTTCATTGTCCAAGCATCCTCAGGTATGTTCAGAGGTCTAGCTGTTGAAAGCATTTCCTCCTTTCTTACATAAAATCTGCGTATGTGAAACTCAATGTCAATTTTAATTAGTATGAAGTGACGACAAGTTTGCTCAAGTGTCTCTTACCCAACTGTGTATGTTAAGACACTGATTTCACCCATCTGTTTGGCCAGTTAGGAGTTAGCTTTGGGTCCAGGATGGAGTTTGTTATAGATTGGGAAGGGGTTTTAAAGTCTGGTCTTCTCTTTGGTTAGACTTTTTGCTTGTTTTTGAAACAAAAGCTCACTGTGTACCTTTGGTTGGACTGGAACTCACAGAGATCTTGTCTCTTTCTGCCTCTGGAGGATTGAAATTACAGGCATGGACCACCAAAGGCTGAGTTTCCTCCTCAATGAAGATGCTGGGATAGATATTTTCTCTCTGTCTCTCTGGGAATTGAATGTAGGGCCTTGTGCATGCTATACAAATGCTCTACTACTATGCTATATCTCTAGCCCTCTTTTCTTAAAAAAAATTTTCATTTGGAAAGCCAGGTATGGTGGTACACACCTTTAATCCCAGCACTCAGAGGAGGAAGAAGCAGGCAGATCTCTGAGTTTGAGGCCAGCCTGGTCTACATAGCAAGCTTCAGGACAGCCAGGACTACATGGAGACCTTGTCTCAATCAATCAAACAAACAAGCAAATTCATTTGGAAATGACTGCAGAAAAGGAGACAGATGGGTAACACAGTAGTGACTGGGAGTGTGGGGGACTGGTCAATAAAACAGAAGGGCTTTATTTCACCAAGCTTTAACTAGGAGGTTTTGTACCATATTTATATGCAAAGTGGATGAGTAAGGAGGGAGGGACACACTGGAGAGGGAGAGGGTGTGGAGCGTTGCTTAGTGATGGTGTGGAATCAGTTCGTAGGTATGGAGTTGGCCTTCTGGTAGACCTGGAACAGGCCATTCATTACTGCAGGAATGGTACAGATGAGGACAGTCAGAGTGCGTGACAGATTGACTGTGGGTATATGAGTTACTTCTTATTGATAGCTCTTACTTTCTCTAGAAGCATTGTTGACTGAGAGTAACAGTGAAGGGAAGATGCCTGAGGAAAAAATGGGATTCGTACTTGAGGGGAGAAAAGCTGTCCATTAGATTGCTGGTCAGTAAACAACCGATGGGGGATGTTCTTGTGTGTGTGTGTATATATATATATATATATATATATATATATATTATATGTTTCTATTATTGGTTGATGAATAAAACACTGTCTGGCCAATAGGAGATGAGGAAAAGGTAGGCAGAGGGAGTCCACCAAAACAGTCACCGTGTAGACCACAAAGGAGTAACAGGTCCGGGCATTCTCCAGTAAGCCAAGACCATGTGAAATATATGGACTAGTAGTTATGGGTTAATAATTAAGAGAGCTAGCCAATAAGAAGCCCTAGCCATCAACTAACAGTTCATAATTAATATAGCATCTCTATGTGCTAATTTGGGGCTCCAGGGTGATGGGCCTGGCAGGACTAGAAAATGACAGCTACAAACAACTGTTGGAGATGTGGATGTGCATACAAGGCAGTGCCTCAGGCAGAAAGTAGAATCTGATGAGTGGTGACAGAGAGGAAACTCAGCCCCTGTGCCATCTTCACATCTGTGTCCTTTAGAGCTAGCTTGTGACATTTACCTCTTACCTGGTTCATTATTATTACAGATCCTTTCTGGAGTTGGAAGGGACTTGAGGACATCAGTCCTTTTGTTCTAAACTGGAACAGGGTATGGGATACTATCATGTATCAGAATCTTGGGACAACTCTGACCTTTGTTATTCTCTCTGTGTCTCTCTCCAGCCAGACCTGCACTGAAAAGAATCTCAAAGAGAATAGGCTGAGTGCTGGGGCTGCAGTCAGGGTGTAAAGGAGTAGGTAGGGACCAGAGGAGGCCTGGCCTAGGGTAGAGAAGCTTGTGTTGTTTGGTCTGACTCACTTTATAACTAAAAAAAAAAAAAAAGACATGCCTTTAATTCTAATACTTTGGAGGCAGAGACAGGCAGATCTCTGTGAGCTCAAGGCCAGCCTGGTCCACAGAGCGAGTTCCAGAATTGGCTCCATATCTACTGTCTCAAAAAAAGCAAAAAACAAGCAAACAAACAAACCCAGACTATTGCCCAGCCGGCCTTGCCTGCGTTAGCGCTGGCTCCTCCAAGTCTCGGGGCTCTTTCCGTTGTCCTCGCTTCTTCTCGTTTTCTCATAGCAGCATACGCCTCTGCACTAACTTGATAACCACCAGTTTATGTCAGAGTTACAGTTTGACTTTCTGCCAGTCCCTGCTAGAGTTAAAGATTCTAAATCCAGTGTCTTTCTTTTTTCCTTTAACGCCAACTTTAGGGAACAGAAGTCAAAGCAATAACATATTCGGCAATGCAAGTCTACAATGAAGAGAAGCCAGAAGTGTTTGTGATCATCGACATTTAAGGAAGGGAGGAAGGAAGGAAGGAAGGAAGGAAGGAAGGAAGGAAGGAAGGAAGGAAGGAAGGAAGGAAGGGACACTTGGGGGCTGGGGGGAACTTGGGTCAATTCCCAGCAACTACTTGACAGCCCACAACCGTCTAACTCCTGTTCCAAGGGATCCAACGCCCTCATACAGACATTGATGTAAGCAAAGCACCAGTGTACATAAAAATAAATTATTTTTAAAAAAGACTTTTATGAAGAACTGATTTGTTCTCTTCCTTTTGACAAGATGCAATGATTGATTTTCTATAGTGACTTTGCTGCATTTTTGGGAACAGTCTTGTACTTGGTCATTTCCAGCAGCAGCAGGAGCAGGTGCCTTACACCATCCAGTGGAATGCAAGAGCTCGCATGGTCTCAGAAGGGGGACCCCCTGGTGTAAGCAGCTGCTGGGACTGAATCCAATTTCAAACAAAATACTTTGAGATGAGTATGATAGATGATATATGCACAACACTCAGGATCTTGAGTTCGAGGCTTGCTTTGGCTATAGAATGAGTCTGAAACTAGCCTGGGCAACCTAATAGGGTCCTGTCTCAAGAAAGGTGTAGGGAAAGGAGAACACATATGCTGAGGTCTTGGTTTTATTTAGTTTTTTGAGACAGGGTTTCTCTGTGTAACAGTCCTGGCTGTCCTAGACCAGGCTGGCCCCAAATTCACAGAGATCCTCCTGCCTCTGCCTCCCAAGTGCTGGGATTAAAAGTGTGCCCACCAACCACCTCCCTGCCCCCAGTTTCTTTTTAATAAGGATCTTCATAAACTCCCATGACTGTTAGAGCACCTGCTTCCTGGTTTTATTGTTATTTATCATGCGGTACAGGTATGTGGTGTGGAGGAGTGGGGCCAGCACAGGGTGTCCAGTCTTCCTCGGCCTTGTTGCCTTGGGCCACGGTCTCCACGGTCTCCACGGGCTGGAAGCAGAGCGTCTTATCGTGACTGACCAGCCCGTAAGCTCTCAGCACGCTGTATTCATCCACACACATGCTTGGCTTTTCCACATGGGCTCTAGGAATTCAGACTCAGGTCTTCATACTTAGAGAACAAGTACTATTACTGAGCCATAACCTGTGTGTACACTTGCATATACATAGATGCATACATGTGCATACATGATGTCTGTGTAGAGGCCAGAGGTCAATGTCACTTCTGGATCACTCCCATGTGCCCAATGAACACAGGTTGCAAACGGCACTCGCCATGTATGGGTTTTCACATGGGTTCTGAGGACCAGACTCAGGTGCTTATGCCTGCATGGCAAGCACTTTTCTACTGAACCACCCCCATCCCCTCTCTACTTAACCCCACAATATGAGCTCACAAGAGAGACATTTTAGTAAGATTTATTTTTATATGCATGGTTTTTTGCATACATATGTGTCTGTGTACCACATACAGGCAGTGCCCAGGAACACCAGTTGAAAACTTGGGTCCACTGAATTGGAGTTAGCAATCCAGGTCCTCTAAAGGAGCACCTAATACTCTTGTGTTGAGCTATCTTTCCAACCACATAAGAGTAATGTTTTTTGTTTGTTTGTTTGTTTGTTTTTTTTGTTTTTGCTTTTCAACACAGGGTTTCCCTGTGTAGCCCTGGTTGTCCTAGAACTTGCTCTGTGGACCAGGCTGGCCTTGAACTCAGAGATCTGCCTGTCTCTGCCTCCTGAGTGCTGGGATTATGAGACAGGGTTCCTTTGTGTAGCCATGGCTGTCTTATAAGTCCATCTGTAGCCCAGGGTAAAAATTTTTAACTTTTAATTTTCTGTTTTACCTGCACCTGGAGCTACAGATGGTTGTGAGCTGCCGTGTAGGTGCTGGGACTCGAACATGTGTCCTATAAAGAGCCAGTGCTCTTAACAGCTGAGCCATCTCTCCAAGCCCCTGGACTTGGAATTTTTATTTGCTGGATCCTGCAACTGGGTATTCCAGACTCCCAAATTCAGTCTTGTCTGGTTCCCTGTGAGACTCAGTATTATAACACATATGCTTTTAAAATATGTTAACATTTTGTAGGCGGGTTTATTGGTGGGGGAAGGAAGGTAAGGGGTCCTGCCACCAAGCCTGATAACCTGAATCCCATCCCACATGGTAGAAGAGAGCCAACTCCTAAAATTTACTTCTGGCTTCCACATGTGTCCTAGCACTGGCATGCCTCCTCCTTCAAACAAAATGAATCAATAAAAATGTAATAGAGGGGCTGGAGAGATGGCTCAGAGGTTAGGAGCACTAGCTGATCTTCCAGAGGTCCTGAGTTCAACTCCCACCAACCACATGGTGGCTCACGACCATCTGTAATGACATCTGGTGCCTTCTACTGGCATGCAGACATACACCAGGCAGAACATGATATACATAATAAATAAATCTTTTTTAAAAAATGTAATAGAAAAGACTGTCAGCCGGGCATAGGTGGCGCACGCCTTTAATCCCAGCACTCGGGAGGCAGAGGCAGGTGGATCTCTGTGAGTTCGAGGCCAGCCTGGTCTACAGAGTGAGTTCCAGCCTCCAAAACAATAGAGAGAAACCCTGTCTATTTGAAAAAAAAAAAAAAAAAAGACTGTCTTAAAGTTTTGTGATAGATTTATTTAAAATATTTTACTCAAAAAAGTTTGCTAAATAGATTTTTCCAACATTTAAAGAAAATGCCATCTGTGTAATAACAGAAAGGATAACTGATCATCCATCATGCCAATGCAAGCAAGGTCTTCCCAGAGCAGCAACATATTTCAGGGCAACAAAGTTCAGAGTGGATACAATGGCCTACTCGAAAAGCATGCAAGTTACATCAGGTCACTTCTAAGCCAGCAGGAGAAACCCATTACCCGGGTTCTGCCCATGGAGAGATACAGGATGTCCAAGTAACCTGCGGGCAGGTAGCTCTGAGGAGTCCCACTTCAGGCTACCTAATGTTGGGTTTGACTTCCCTTTCTTCTTCTTCCTCACTGTCTTCAACCTGCTTTATGACCAGATCGGCAGACCCGTCCTCTACAATCTCCACGTAGGACCTATTCTCTTCCTCACTCAGATGCCACCTCGAATCCTTATCTCCGTCTGTGGGGGACATGCAGTGTTGCTCAGCTTCCAGATCAACAGGGAGGTTGTCCATGCCAGCTTCAGCAAGGCACTCGTTACACAGTCTGTAGCGCCTGGTTCCTTCCTGTACCACCTGGCCTGTGAGGTCAGTCACATGACGTTTGCATTTCCTGCAGATTAGTTTGCATGCCTGGTGGATCTGTGTAGAGATTTAAGAAGTGATTAAAGTACATTTTCAAAAGTGGGTCAGTTTGCTATTTTAGGGACCAGTTCATACACTTCAGATGCTCAAAACTATTGATTAAGTTCAAATTAACATCTAATTATCAGAAAAGACCCCAAGATCACCATGGACACATCACATATCAGCTTTCTCTAAATAATGACTGTAATGCTTTTCTTTAAATTATTATGTATACAGAGTTCTGTCCAAATGTATCCCTGCAGGCCAGAAGAGGTCCAGATCTCATTACAAGATGGTTGTGAGCCATCTTGTGGTTGCTGGGAATTGAACCTGGATCCTCTGGAAGACCAACTAGTGTTCCTAACCACTGAGTCATCTCCAGCCCTGGCTTCCTTATTTCCACTGAATACTTAATAATTGCACACATCCAGTAACCCAAAAATATAAGGCAAGGAGGGGGTTCCTTCCCTCAGTAAAAGTTGCAAACACTATACGCCATGTACTAAGGACTTTAAAAAAACTTTTGTTGTTATTATCTGTCTGTCTGTCTGTCTTTCTTTCCTCCTTCCTTCTTTCTTTTCTTTTTTTTATTGAGACAAGGTTTCCTTGAGTAATAGCTCACGGTCCTGGAACTCAATCTGTAGGCTAGCTGGCCTCAAACTCACAGAGATCAGCCTTTCTGCCTTCTTAGTGCTGGGATTAAAGACATGCGCCACCAATGCCCAGCAAAAGAACTGCTGTTGTTGAGTGTATAAGAGGGGCACACGCATCCCAGGATGAACATATGGAAATCAGAGAACAAACTCTGCCAAGTCAGTTCTCTCCTTCCTCCTTGATGTGGGATCTGGGGGTTGAACTCAGGAGACCAGGGTTTTGGGGGGCAAGCGCCTCTAACTGTTGAGTCACCTCACTGGTCCTGTTCTAAGGACTCCGTATAGTTTAACTTAAAGATCAAACAAACATATAAAAAACCCAAAATTTACTTCATGTGATTTTTTTTAACTAAGGAAGAAAAATATAACCCCAAAAATAAGTTTATCAACATTTTTTGCAGTGATCAATGGCTGACCATACTGGGGGTTAGAAGGATCCGGTCCTGATCCTGGTTCTGTAGTAGCTTTGTTATTTATTAACCAAACATCTCGGAACAAATTTAACATGATAAACTAGTTTTCAAGCCGTCAGTCAAAATACTGAGCAGACAAGAGTGACTAGCCTGGGTGGATGCTGATTTAAAATTCAATATCATAGGCAGTTTGAACGCCAGACAGTTGCTATCCCTGCCTGCTTCTTTACCATTGATCGGGGTGTTACTCACAGGGCTGAAAGTGAGGACAAAGCGAGTTAATGGTCATGAGATGCTTTGGTCAACAAGTTAGACAGGCGGTGGTAGTGCACGCCTTTGATCCCAGCCCTTAGGAGGCAGAGACAGGCGGATCTCTGTGAATTTGAGGCCAGGATGGTCTACAGAGTGAGTTCCAGGACAACTAGGACTACACGAATAAAGTCTGTCTTGAAGAAAAAAAAGTTAGATGGAGGCCGAAGAGATGGCTCAGCAGTTAAAACACTGGCTGCTCTTTCAGAAGACCTGGGGTCAATTCTCAGCATCCACATGGTGACTCACAACCACTTAAACATTCAGTTTCAGGAGACCCAGTACTCTTCTCTGGTTTCTGAGGGCATCAGGCATAAGTATGCAATGAACTTACATATATGCAGACAAAACACTCACACACATAAAAATTAAAAAAGAAATGCTTTTTTTTTTTTTTGGTTTTTCGAGACAGGGTTTCTCTGTGGCTTTGGAGGCTGTCCTGGAACTCGCTTGGTAGTCTAGGCTAAAAGAAATGCTTTTTAACAGATTTGTTTTTTCAAATATGAGGATTGAAGAGATTGGCTCAGTGATTCTTCCAAAGGACCTGAGTTCAGTTCCCAGCACCCACATTGGACAACTCCCAGCTACCTAAAACTCCAACTCTAGGAAATCTGACTCCCTTTTCTGGCCTCCATGAACACTGCACCCATGTGTATAAATTAAAGAGGGAGAGGAGGAGAGGGAGAGAGAAAAAGCTAAAATAAGTTTTTAAAAAGTTGTATTTATTATGTATATAGTTGCATACAGTGTTCTGCCTGCACATATGCCTGCACGCCAGAAGAGGGCACCACATCTCATTATAGATGGTTGGGAGTATGATCCCAGTATCCCAACAAAGTGATTAATGTGTCGTCATGGACAACCAGTCCTCCAGTTAGTAAGTGCTTCCTAGTGTGACATGTGAAATACACAACATTGGCCTTGATATGTCCTGGCCAAAAGTGTTTTATTTGAATCTGTTAAGGATATAGATGAAACTGCAGTACAAGAAATGCAGGGTGGATAAAGGAATGAGCTAAATCTCTATGTAGAAGCAAGCAAATTCAGAGGTAGGATATTTTGTAAAATAAATGGCTTAGTATCTTCAAAAATCCATCCAGTGTTATGAGGCAGGAAGGTGTGCGTGCCTGGGGGTAATCATGCTAGATTAAAAATATACTTATGGGATTTAACAATGAGCTAGACTTGACTCTGGCTCAGAAAATACAGCTATAGAAGGTATTTGGTGGGGACTATGGGGAAATCGGAACTGCACTGAGTGCTAAATAAAATTGTACTGCAACAGAAAGGTAGATATTAACTAAGGAACACGGGTGACAAAACAACATGTAAAAGAAATGCATAGAAGAAAATTTTGGGAGACTATATAATAAATAAATACATTGACTACAGGCACGTTCCTCTGTGCCCATCTTAAAAGGCTGTTGGTGTTGTTGTCAACATGATGTATATGTGACTGTGTGGTTGCATGAGTGCCACAGGAGGCATGTGGGGAATCAAAGGAGAAGTTTTGATGGCTGGTTCTTTGGGGAGCTGGAATGCATGTTTAGCATATATTTTAATATATATTTGCATATATAAATAAAAGATTTGTTTTTATTTATGTGCACGTGTGTTTTTGTGGGTGTGTATGACACATGTGTGGGTATCCACGAAGCCAGAAGAGGGTGTTGGATCCCTTGAGATAGAATTATAGATGGTTGTGGGGCTGGAGAGATGGCTCAGCAATGAAGAGAACTGGCTGCTCTTCCACAGGACCTGAATTCAATTCCCAGTAACCATCTGTAATGAGATCTGGTGCCCTCTTCTGGCCTGCAGGGACACATGCAGGCAGAACACTGTATACATAGTAAATAAATAAATCTTTAAAAAAAAGAATTATATTCAACTTCTATTTTATGTGCATTGGTGTGAGGATACCAGATCCCTAGAACTGGAGTTACAGACAGGTGTGAGCTGCCATGTGGAAACTGGGAATTGAACCCGTGTCCTCTGGAAGAGCAGCCGGTGCTCTTAACCACTGAGCCATCTCTCCAGCCACCCCCAAAAGAATTATAGATGGTTGTGAACTGTCCTTTCCTCAGTAAGAGTACTATGTACTTGCTCTGTAGACCAGCTTGGCCTGTAACTCAGAGATCCGCCTGCCTCTGTTGGGACAAAGCACGTGCCACCATGCTCAGCTAGTAGTATGTGCTCTTAACACCGAGCCACCTCCTTTTATTATTTATTGTGTGTGAGCACGTTTGTGTGTCACAGTGTGTGGATGTCAGAAGACCACCTCCAGTGTCAGGCCTTCCCTTCCGTCTAGCTTGAGGCAGGGTCTCTCCTGGTTGCTGTGGCACTACAGCTGCCTCTAAGAGGTCCTAGGATCTGAACTCAGGTTCTATGCTCCAACAGCAAGCTCTTTTACAACTCAGTCACCTCCCTGGCCCTACTGTAGATTTTTTTTTCTTGAGGCAGGGTCTTACACTGTAGCACAGTCTGGAATTTACTCTGTAGACCAAGCTGGCCTCAAACTCATGGTGATCGTCCTGCCTTAGCCTCATGAGCGCTGGACTTAAGAGGCATGAGCTACACGCAGTCCACCGCTATACCTTATGAAACCACCAGGCACTGAGCACTGAACAGCGCCTTCCTGAGAGTCCCAACTGGGAGTCTATTGCCCTTCTCACGTGCCTTAGGGAGGCTGGAGAAGCTGATCCAGACTAGAGAGATGTGGTGGAGACAGGTCAGGCTCAGCCCCCAATAGAGGCCGCAGCGGGTTTCAATTATCAATAGTAGGTGCTAAGGATCTGGATAGACAGTGACCTAACACTTAGAACATTTGTCCAGGATAATCTTTGTCTCCCAGAAGATGAGATTTATATGAATTAAAATGGAAATATAAAAAGATTTAGCACCAAAAGAATATCACCCACAACAAGGTCTCAAAAGAATATAAATATATATATATATGTGCATGGTGTGATGGTGTACACCTTTAACCCTGGAGGCAGGGACAGGTGGACCTTGGTGACTTAGAGACCAGTGAATGTATTTATACATTATTTAGTGCGCACCTGTGTGTCACAGAGCACATGTAAGGGTCAGAGGACAACTTTCAGGAATTGGTTCTCTCTTTCCACTATGTGAGTTCCTGCAACTGAAGTCATTTGAAAGGTGTGGTAGAAGTTTCTTACCTGTTGAGCCACAGAATACAAATTTTTATAAAACTTTATATAAATCTATGTATCTATTAAAAAATAGATAATGGAATAATAATTTTTTAAAAATCTTATTATTATTTGTGTGTGTGTGGGGTGAGTGTGTGTATATGTATGTGAATGTATGTCACGGTACATGCATGAAGACCAGGGATAACTGTGGAGTTCCTCTGTGTAGTATTCAGGCATTTTTACTGGCCTGTTCTTGGGGTTCTAACAGGATATGTCCTCAGCTGCTGCCACTAAGAGCACCACCTGTGCACATTCACTATGTCCCTTCTCTCTCTCTCTCTGTCTCTCTCTCCCTCCCTCTCCCCCTCCTATCCCCTTTCCCCCTTTCCTTTCTCCTGCTGCTCCTGTCCCCCCCCAGACCAGTCTCCCCCCTCCCCTTTTCCTTTTTATATCCCTTTCCCTAACTAAAAACCCCTCTGCTTGAACCCTGTTGCATGGAGCCATTCTCTCACAAGCTGCTTTTCTTAAACACTCTAGGTTCTGGGAATCAAATTTACATCATGAAGCTTAGATCATTTGCTAGCAAGTGTTTTTACCCGCTGAGCCATTGGCCAAGAGTTATAAATATGGTGGAGTTGCTGGAAGAGATTTTCTCCCAGGAATTTAGATTTGAGGTTGTGTATTATACATATATGTACCTGTTTGTGTATTGCATACATGTGGAGGTTGATAGTCAGCATGCCGCCTACTGCTCTTTACCTTATTTTTTAAAAGATGTGTTGCTGGGCAGTGGTGGCACAGCCAGGTGGTGGTGGCGCACGCCTTCAATCCCAGCAGTTGGGAGGCAGAGGCATATAGATCTCTGTGAGTTCAAGGACAGCCTGGTCTACAGAGCGAGTTCCAGGACAGCCAGGGCTGTTACACAGAGAAACCCTATCTCAAAAAACCAATTATTTACTTATGTACATGAAGGTTTTACCTGCACACATGCATGTGTGGCATGTGTACCCGGAGCCCATGGAGTACAGAAAAGGAAAAGGGTGTCAGACCCTCTATAATTGGAGTGATAGATGAATTGTTTATTGCCACATGGGTGTTGGGAACCAAACCCAAGACCTCTGGATGCTGGAAGAGTCTCTGAGCCACCCCCCCCCCCCTTTTTTAAGAGTCTTTAACTCAAATTGGAACTCACTGATTTTGCAAGACCAGCTGATCAGGGAGTTCCAAGGAGCCTTGGGTCTCTGCTTCTCCAGTGCAGGAATTATAGGTGCACACAACCACACCTGGATTATTCTATATATCGGTGCTAGGGATCCTCAGTCAAGTTATCACTTTTGTGTGGTAACTGAATCACCTCCCCACCCCCAATTTAGATTATTTAAGTAGACAAATGAAAGGCTGGGGATGTAACTCAGTGGTAGAGAGCTTGCTTAGCATGTGTGATGCAGGGTTCAATCCAACCAACCTCCCCCCAACTAATACCAGAAGCAGGGGGAAAGAGGGAGGGAGAGAGGGAGGGAGGGAGGGAGGGAGGGAGGGAGGGAGGGAAGGAGGGAGAGTAAAAATGCAGATAATACACATACGTTACAAGAAGCAAAATGATGAAAACTCATATACATACTGTTCGGAAATGGCTGCTCAGATGGTCTAGCCTGCTAAACCGTTTCCCACAAGCTTGGCACGGGTAGGGCCTTTCTCCTGTGTGGCAGCGCAGGTGCCGTTTGAGGTCCGCTTTCCGCTTCACCACATGTGTGCAGTATGGGCACTTGAATCGAAGCCTGGGCAGATCATCTGCCAAGAGACAGTGGGATTAAAGCACTGCAGAGATCACAGAAACGCTTCCAGGAGTTTAAGGAAGCCAAAGGAGCCAGTGAGCCCGATACCGTGACGGTAAAGAGGGGAACAACTTGAATTAACCACGCTGTCAAGTAGCCCTGGGCGCAGAAGTGTAACTGGAGCACAAAGGCCGGGTAAACTAGACCACCACCCTCATCATTTTACTTCACAGTAGATTTTAAATGTAAAAGGCGGAGCCAGACTGTAAAACCACACACAAGCCAAAAATAAAGCAATTAATTTTTAATTGATTCATATTTTTTATATCCTTGCCTTCTTTTTATATACTTGTTAATGCTTTTTTGCTGTGAGGCTGGGGACAGAATCCAGGGCTAAGTCATGCTATAAGATACCCTCAGGCATTCTTTTTCTTGTGTGTGTTTGTGTGTGTGTGTGTGTATGTGTGTGTGTACTGAGTATGCTATTCTTATGACTGTCATTAAATGTTCTCAGTATTATATTTTGAATTAAACATTTAAAATTCATGTCCTATGAAATAAATTTGAGTAAAAAGTATGACTTAGCCAGGCAGTGGTGGTCCACACCTTTAATCCCAGCACTCGGGAGGCAGAGGCAGGCAGATCTCTGGGAGTTGGAGGCCAGCCTAGACTACAGAGTGGGTTCCAGGACAGCCTCCAAAGCTACAGAGAAACCCTGTCTTGAAAAACAAACAAACAAACAAAAAGTATGACTTAAAAAAACATCAAGTGCTCTTAGCACCTGCTGCTTTTCCAGTGGACCTGAGTTTGGTTCGCAGCACCCATATCAGGTGGTTCACAACAATCTGGAATCCCAGGTTCAGTGCATCTAAAATGCCTCTGTGGACATCACCTATACATACACATGCTCAAACACACACACACACACACACACACACACACACACACACACACACACACAAATAAATGTAAAAATAAAAATAAATCTCTAAAAAGAAAAAAGATCACTTGGTTCAACTGCTATGCACCTAAAATTAAGGGCATTTGGGTCTGGGGAGGGACCTAAGCTCTTTTGGGTACCTGGAAAGCTCCTGGATGTGACATCAGATCCTTGGCCGTACTGGTAGCCAGCAGGAGGAGCAGAATCTACTTCAGCATCAATCTGTACTTGCTCTTCAGGCTGAGAAGTGTGGTTGGAGGAATCGCATGTTCGTGCCTCTCCTTTTCCAGATTTAGGATGAACAACTTCAGAAGGCTGTGACAATCTCAAATGCTTGGTCTTTTTACCGTCATCCTTCCTGGGCTCACTGGCCAACGGTTGCTGGGAGGTCCTTTGGGAAGCTGCATGGTAACTGTACTTGTTCCACAACTTCCCAGTTGCTGTACTCGGTCCTTGGTCTGGGCTCAGGTGAGAACGGGGAGACGCGCTTTCCTCCTGCCAGCCGCTACTATAAAAAGAGGGGCGCTCTACACCATTTGAGCTGGTGTCCTTATCTGAGAGGCTGAAGTAGCGATCTTTTTCTTTCTCACTAATGTCCAAGGAAGATTTAATGAAAGTCTTACACACACTAATGACATCAGTCATCTGAAGGAAGCTCGCGGCGGACATCACCTCTATAACATTCTGTCCAGTGAGAGAGAGTTTGCCGGAGTAGACAAAGTCCAGGATGACCGTGAAGGTGTCAGGGGAGAAGGCCTGAAACGTGGCTGTGGCTGGCTGACTCGTCTCCTTTGAGTTCTGAGAAAGCAGCATTTTAAAGTAGCCGCTGCTAGCAAACAACACATTCCGATGCGCTTTGAAGACTTTCCCTTCCACTAGGATGCTGCAGTCACAAAACACGCCTTGCCTGCGCTGCTCGTTCAGCTGCTGCAGGAGGTGATACTGGTGAGAGGAGATCTCCATTCCGCTGGGGAACGACGCGTGGTTACCAGAGAGGAACGAACAAACAAGCCTAGGGTGAGTTGGTGAAAACACGAATCAGGCTCGCTTCCCATGAACCTCTTCCTTCTTAGGAACACAGGCCCCAAGACGCAGACGGTAGTGGGGGCTGCTGCTGTTCTCTAGTCCCGGCTACTCAGAAGGCTGAGGCAGGAGGGTCACAAGCTCAAGGTCTGCTTGAGTTACACAGAGGGTTCAAAACTTGCAAGACTCTGTCTCAAAGTAAAAAGTGAAGAAAACAAAACACCAGACCAAAACAAACATCAACAAACAAACAAAAAACTGGCAGGAGAGTACTCCAGGCTACCTTGGGCTACACAGCGAGACCGTGTCTCTAAAAGATAAACACAAGAAAATACCAGAGGCACGACTAGAATTTTCTACTTCACAGGTTGAGAAATACATGATTAACAACTGTTTCCTCCAGAAAAAAATGCTGTGAACTTTACTATCAGTGATGAAACAATAAAATTATGGAAAAATCAGGAGAGGACACAGGACCAGAAGGTTCTTAGTTGAAAGAAGACAGAAGGCGGAGAGTCCAGGCTAGCCCTATCTGTCAGTGCTCATTAACATCACATTCAGTTTCTATTAACAGGAACATCGCTTTCTGTTAGGGAAGGAAAGTGTTCACAAGTCTCAATCAGTGCATTCCTGAGGGAAACGGCAGGAACTCAAGAACTCAAGCAGAGGTCATGAAGGAACACTTCCCACTAGTCTGCTTCCCACGGCTTGCCCAGTTACAACCCAGGACCATCTGCCCAGGCATGGCACTGCCCACAGCAGGCTTGTGCCTCCCACATCAATCATTAATCAAGAAAATATCCCGGGCTGGAGAGATGGCTCAGAGGTTAAGAGCACTGCATGTTCTTCCAGAGGTCCTGAGTTCAAGTCCCAGCAACCACATGGTGGCTCACAGCCATCTATAATGAGGTCTGATGCCTTCTCCTGGGATACATGCATGTACACAGATAAAAAAACTGTATGCATAATAAATAAATAATTAAAAAGAAGGAAAACACCCCACAGACATGCTCTCAGTCCAGCTTCATGGTAGTGATTCCTCAGATGAGGTCCCTCTTCCTCGGGACTCTAGTTTGTGTTGAGTTGACAGACTAGACAATGGCTATGAGACTTGTTTGTTTTTTTGTTTTGTTTTTAAAGATTTTATTTATTATTGTGAATACAGTGTTCTGCCTGCATGCTAGTCAGAAGAGGACACCGAATCTCATTACAGATGGTTGTGAGCCACCATGTGTTTGCCGGGAATTGAACTCAGGACCTCTGGAAGAACAGTCAGTGCTCTTAACCTCTGAGCCATCTCTCCAGCCCAAGACTTGTTTTTTTGAGACAGGGTTTCTCTGTATAACAGCTCTGGCTGTCCTGGAACTCACCCAGTAGACCAGGTTGGCCTTGAACTCACAAAGATCCATCTGCCTCTGCCTCCCAAGTGCTGGGAATAAAGGCGTGAGCTGCCACCACCTGGCCAGTTTCTGCATTTTAGTCATGTTAAAATGTAAATGTTTTTATGTGTACTATGGCTTGAATGTGGTTTGAGTCTGTCCCTCCTCACTACATGAAAGATGGCTTAAGACAACCCTGCACAAACACGCTCATTCCCATTCTCCTCCCCCTCTTTATCCCCCCCATGTGTGGGCGTCTTGCTTGCATTTCTATCTGTGCACCATGTGTGCCCGTTGAGGCCACATAGGGTGTTGGATCTCCTGAATTTATACATAGTTGTAAGATACCCTGGAAGTGCTGGAAACTGAACCTGGGACCTCAACAATGGAAGCAAGTGCCCTTGATCTCCGAGCCATCTTTCCAGCCCCTAATTCTACTTTTAAAAAGCTAATATTGGGTTGGGTAGTGGTGGTGCATGTCTTTAATCCCAGCTCTCTGGGACAGGTGGATCTCTGTGAATTCAAGGCCAGCCTGGTCTACTGATTGAGTTCCAGGACAGCCTCCAAAGCTACAGAGAAACCCTGTCTTTAAAAAACAAACAAGAAGCTAATATTGGGCCAGAGTGAAGGTTTAAAGTTAGTTAAGTGCACTTGACGCTCTTGCACAGGACGGAGGTTCAGTACCTCACGCCCACAGAGGGTGTCATAGCTGTCATAACTCAATTCCAGAAAATCTGATGCTGTCTCCTGGCCTCCCCAGGTACTGCACACACATGGTGCATGGCCATACAGGCATGCAAGCAAACACTTGCATCCACAAAAAATTAAAATAAACATTTTTAAGTTAATTTTCCCATCAGGGAAATTTTGGTTTGTTTGTTTAAGTTTCAGTAAAAATTGCTTTGCAGGCAGTTTGTAAAAGTTGAAAGTGGGTATCTGTGCTGGTAAGGGTTGTCACTGGTCACTATGTGCAAGTTAAGTAAACAGGCTCTAACTAGGGGCTATTGGGGAGCAGGAGAATCGTTAAAACATTAAAAGTAAAGTGGGCTGGGGGGTAGTGACACACACCTTTAGTCCCAGCATTCCGGAGGCAGAGGCAGAGGCAGGAGGATTTTTGTGAGTTCGAGGCCAGCCTGGTCTACAGACTGAGTTTCAGGACAGTCAGGGCTGTTACACAGAGAAACCCTGTCTTGAAAAACCAAAAGAAATGTCTGATGCTAGATGGAATAATGGGGGTCCACACACTGTCTTATGTCCCTGTAGTATATTATCTGTCTGGAATATACAGAATAGCTCCTGTTGGTTTGGTTTTTGTTTTGTTTAGCATAGGATTCTTAATATGTTGTTTCATTTGAGAGCCCAGGAAGCAAACCCTCAACAAAAGAATTTGGGGGTTCATTGAACACAGTTAGAGCTTGAATAGATTTATGATATCGGGGCCAATGAAAAGGTGAAATATGGAGATGAGTGTCACTGCCTGGCTCATTAGCTGCATCTGCATACTGAAGTCGAGGCTGCTCCCTGCAGCCATGATGATGAAGAAAGGGATTCTGGGATGCTAGCTACTCCTACTGCCCGGGAGTGCCGAGGAAGGGAAAGGACAGGCTGCAGGTGATGGGAGATGTCATTCTGTAAATCTGTCTCTTATTGGTTATTGAATAAAGCACTGTTGGCTAATAGGGAAGCAAGATAGGTGGGACTAGGAGTTAAGGAGGATTTTGGGAAAGAGACAGGGAGACACCATATAGGCAGCCAGAGGAGTAAGAGGTCCGGACCCTTTTCTCCAATAAGAGAAATACTTAGATTAATAATTATGGGTTAAATACTTAAGTCAGAGCTAGCCAGCAAGAGACCAAGCAAAAGGCCAACAGCTTTATAATTAATATAGTGTCTTGTGTGTTACTTGGGGGTTCAGACAGTGCGGCAGGGCCCAGGCGACTGGTAAGGAAGACTACACTCTACATGCAGGCCTTCGACTCTCAGCCCAGCTGACTAGCAGGGAAGCAGAGAACTACTGATCATCCTAAGGAAGTCTCTTCATACAGCCTGAGGTGGAAACAGCAAAAAACCAGACACCAAGTACACATGGATTGCAAAATAACCATGAAAGTTATTTCACACCTTGACCAAATTTCTTCTGCAACGAGCATCAGTTAACTAGGAAGGAGAAAGACCTCTGACACTTGGAATGAGAGTCAAGCCATCTGAGAACCTTGTAACTCTAAAGTCCCTGGAGTTGCCCACATACCCAGAAAGTAGCCTCTCTCCTCATTGAGATTGTTACCTTCCTCCACTTTCCATTCCTCTCCCCGCCCCTCCACCTTTGGTCTAGAGAACACAGGCTGGCCTCAAACTCAGCATCCTTCCGCCTCAGCTCCCAAGTGCTAGACTATAAGAAAGTATCATGATTTCTAGTTCTTCTCTTTTTCTGAGATATAGAGGTGTGGTGATTTGAATAAGAATGGTCCCCATAGGCCCATATATTTTAATGTTTAGCCACCAGGGAGTAGCACTATTTGAAAACAATCAGAAAGATTAGGTGTGGCCTTGTTGGAGGAAGTGTGTCACAAGGGGTGTGTTCTAAGGTTTCAAGAGCCTACATCAGGCCCAGTATGTCTGTCTCTCTGTCTGCATGTGAAATCAGGATATAGCTCTCAATTACCGCTCCAACACTGAATGTTCTCATGCTCCCTACCACCATAATAAGGGACTAAACCTCTGAAACTGTAAGACCCCAATTAAATACTTTCCCTTATAGGAGTGGCCTTAGTCAGAGTGTCTCCTCACAGCAATAGAAACAGTGAAAGGCAGAAATTGGTACCAGGAGTGGGGTATTGCTGTGACACCCTGACTAGGCTACTTGTCCAAGGAATGTGGACTTTGAGACTTTGGGTTAGCAAAGCAGATGAATGCTTTAAGCAGAGCTTAAAGGGACAGACTAGTAAGAACATGGAAGACAGTGGTAAAGACAGCGATATAAATTATTTTGGTTAGCTCAAGAAGTTTGAGAGGGGAGACTCTATTAGTCAGTGTCCTAGAGACCATTTTTGTGATATTTTGGAAAAGAATTTGACTACTTTTGCCCTTGTCCTAAAAATCTGTCTGAGGCTAAATTAGAGAGTTTTGGATTATGGAAGAGATTTCAAGACAGTATAGTACTGACTGTGTCATGTGGTTATTAGTATCACACTTACGCAGATCTGTAATGAAAAGGAGCAAGCTGGACAAAGAGAAATACAAAATGTGCAGTCTGAGGAGAAAAAGAGCTTCAGGAAGTGTAATGAAGCTAAACCAAGTCTCAAGGAGATTAAAAAGTTTACAGAAAGTCGGGCGGTGGTGGAGCACGCCTCTAATCCCAGCACTCAGGAGGCAGAGGCAGGCGGATCTCTGTGAGTTCGAGGCCGGACTGGACCGACAGCCTCCAAAACAATACAGAGAAACCCTGTCTCGTAAAAACCAAAAAAAAAAGTTTACAGAAAAGCCTGATGCTGCCGGGTGGTGAATTACTTTTCACATGTAGCTGGGGTAGAACTCAGTGGCAGACCACTCAGGCCCACTTCCAGCAACAAACAATGGTTTCCTCATACCTGGAAACGTACAGATGCTAAGAACCTGAAGACTGGTGGAAGGCAAGGAGGAAAGACTCCAAGTCAGTGAGTTCCCAAAAGGAGTTGTGTCTGTGGAGAGAAAGGACAGATACAGGGGTGGACTTTTGTAATAAGAGAAGTATCTGGTGGGGTTCTTAATTATTTATTTTTATATTAGGCATCAGTGTTCAGCATGCAAAAATAGATAATTTGGTATAGATCATTAGTTTTAAAAAATATCTTTAGCAAGTGGGGATGGTGGCCCATGCCTCCTTTAATTCCAGCATTTAGAGGCAGAGACAGACAGGGACAGATCTCCATGAGTTGAAGGCCAGTCTTATCTATAAGATAAATTCCAGGCCGGGCGTTGGTGGCACACGCCTTTAATCCCAGCACTCGGGAGGCAGAAGCAGGTGGATCTCTGTGAGTTCAAGGCCATCCTGGTCTACAAAGAGAGTTCCAGGAAAGCCTCCAAAACAATACAGAGAAACCCTGCCTTGAAAAACCAAAACAAACAAACAAACAAATTCCAGGACAGCCAGGACTATTACACAGAGAAACCCTGTCTCAAAAAAAAAAATTGCTTTGATGTTTTGGATTCCTTTCTGAATACATTGACATTTGTAGGGTACAGTAGAACATGCCCGAATCCTAGCACTTGGGATGTAGTAACAGGAGGATCAGGGGTACAAGGCTAACCTTGGTTATTTAGTGAGTCTGAAGACAGTCTGCCCCAGACCCTGCCTCAAGAAAATAATAAACTGGCTACGTAAGTTTAGGGAAGCTGGTCGTTGGTGGCACACTCCTTTAATCCTAGCACTTGAGAGGCAGAGGCAGGAGGATCTCTGTGAGTTCGAGGACAGCCTGGTCTACAGAGTGAGTTCTAGCACAGGCTGCAAAGCTATAGAAAAATCCTGTCTCAAAAAATACACACACACACACACACACACACACAAGTTTAGGGGGCTGGAGAGATGGCTCATCGATAAAGAGCACTGGCTGCTCTTCCAGAGGTTCTGAGTTCAATTCCCAACAACTACATGGTGGCTCACAACCATCTGTAATGAGATTTGATGCCCTCTTCTGTCATGTAGGCTTACATGCAGATATTAGAACACTACATAATTTTTGTTTTGTTTTGTTTATCGAGAATTTACAGAGATGTGCCTATCTCTGCCTCCTGAGTGCTGGGATTAAAGGTATGCGCCACCACCCATCGGACTTCAAACTTTTGATTCCCCTGCCTCAATCTCCACAGTATTAGAATTACAGACACACGCTCCCAAGCACAGGAAAACGAGGAGTCTCAGGGAGTAAAGATTCTTGCCATAGTAAAAGCTCATTCATCAGCCAGTCCTAAGGAGCTAGGAGGACTTGGGTGGTGTGGTTGGTGGTGTGGTTACTCTGACAACTTTCCGGTTCACCAGGGAGGCTTACAGGCACAATCACAGTCTATGCCGTAGCCAGCAAAAGTGAATTCCAAGCTCCCAGGGAGAATGGATTTCTAAGCCATGTCTGTGTTCCACACAGGTTTTACATGAAATGTCATTTTTTGGGGACAATTACCACTGCCTGAGCAGGAAGGAACAGGAAAACCCATTTAAAGTTTAATTCCAGTGTGGTGCTCAGCCAGTAACCCCAGTACTCAAGAGCCTGGGGCAGAAGATTTTGCATTGGTGACGAACCTGTGTTTACAGACAGTTCCAGGTCACCCTGGCCAAAAATGACATTCTGCCTCAAAAACCAAAATGAAATAAAAGAGGGCTAGGTGTTATAATAATGCGGCATGGCTTAGGACCGCCACCGGAGGTGATGGACGCGGACATGGGAAACAGAGACCTACAGAGGTGACTCAAATTCAAAGTTTTATTAAGGGGGATAAGTAAATAAAGTAAAGACAGACAGACAGACAGACACACACACACACACACACACACACACACACACACAGTAGGAAAGAGAGCGGAAGGGGCGGAGTCTTTCTTTTAAAGGGGTCCTTTGTACCTGAGTGGAGGCTGACCAGGATACTGCCTGAGTGCATTCTGCCAGGTGACGGGGACAGGCCAGTATAATTCCTGAATCCTTACACTAGGAGGATATAACTGGTTGGTAAACTGCTGTTTAGCTCACACAAAGCCAGAGTTGACCCAAGCACCACATAAAGTTTGGAGTCTGTTGTGGACACCTATAATCACAGTACTGAGGAAATGAAGGCAGAAGGATTTTGAGTTCAAGGCCATCCCTGCCCACATAGCAAGCTTGAGGCCAACCTCGGCTACATAAGACCATGTCTCAATAAAGTAAATAGTCACTGGGCGGTGGTGGCGCACGCCTTTAATCCCAGCACTCGGGAGGCAGAGGTAGGTGGATCTCTGTGAGTTCGAGGCCATCCTGGTCTACAAAGAGAGTTCCAGGACAGCCTCCAAAGCCACAGGGAAACCCTGTCTCGAAAAAAAAAAAAGTAAATAGTCAACATTTTCATGAGAAAGTTTTTCCGGGATAGCACAGCAACAGGAAGTGAAGGAATCTAGCAGGCATGAGCATGGCAAACATGGTGCTGTCAGGCCTTACCCTGGTAAACCACAGATTACATGCCTAAAGCTAGCCACCAAGGTCCTTGATGGTGCATGCCTTTAATCACAGGACTCAGGCGGATTTCTGTGAGTTGGAAGCCAGCTTGGACTACAGAGAGAGTTCCAGGACAGCCAAGGCTACTCAGAGATATACCCTGTCTCGAAAAGCCAAAACCAAAACCAAGCAAAAAGCCTCTTTTGGCTATCTTAATTAACTTGCCCAGTCAAAACATACCATGGCATCCTGGCCCACTCCAACACAGACCTTTGCTTTTTTTTTTTTTTTTTTTGGTTTTTCGAGACAGGGTTTCTCTGAGGCTTTGGAGGCAGTCCTGGAACTCGCTCTGTAGACCAGGCTGGTCTCGAACTCACAGAGATCTGCCTGCCTCTGCCTCCCGAGTGCTGGGATTAAAGGCGTGCCCCACCAACGCCCGGCTCAGACCTTTCCTTTTCGTCTCATAAAATTACACCTGCAAGGTCATTTTCTGACTGAGTCAGAAAGCAGCCACTTTTCTTCCTGCTTAATAAAGATGAAAATGGTGTGTGGAGGATGGAATGGGGACTGGAGAGATGGCTTCACTCAGTGGATGAAGACCACCCACACGCAGCTCACAACTGTCTGTAACTCCAAGATCTGACAGCCTCACACAGACATACATGCAGGCAAGACACCAATGCACATAAAGTACAAATAAATCATTAAAAAAGAAAAAAGAGATAGGTGTGTGGTCTGTGCCTAGTCTGGGGTCTGGGAAGGAGGATCCGTTGTGGGTGGATCCCCTCAGGAAGTGCTCAGTAACTGGCTCCCTCACAACTTGATAACATTTAGCATACTTTACAATAGCAAACAGTATCCTGCATCAAAGGGCTTATTTTCTGCTTACAGGACTATGCCACAGGCATGGGTAATGCCTTCCAGATTTTCTTTTTTCAGTAGACTGATCTTACAAGTTGTATTAGCAAGTACAGTTAGACTATCTCAGGCGAGTCATCCAAAAATCAAGTGGAACTTTTACAATATCTGAGTTTGTAATAGTCCTTAAGAAGATTACAGAATCCAAAATTCCCATTAAGGTCAGTGATCTTTTAAAAGGTGGCGGGAAAAGACAATTACATATTTTAGGAACCATTAAGTTTGAAGGTCTTTGGAAGAGAAAAAGAGTCATGTAGATTTGGGTAACAAGTAAAGCTTGATACTACTCACAGGCTTGACCCAGGACAGTGGGTCTCAACCTTCCAATGCTGCCATCCTTTAGTACAGTTCCTCATATTGTGGTGCCCCCACCATAAAATTATTTTCGATGCTACTTCATAACTGCAGTTTTGCTGCGGTTGCAAGTTATAATTAAATATCTGATATGCAGGATGCCTAATATTCGACTCCTGTGAAGGTCTTGACCCCAGGTTGAGAACCACTTATCTAGACCTTAGTGTGTTGGTCTTAGCAAAAATCCCTAGCTCCTAAATTTGAGCTAACTGGAAGGGTAATTGTGTTCTTTTTTTTTTTTTTTGGTTTTTCGAGACAAGGTTTCTCTGTGGCTTTGGAGGGTAATTGTGTTCTTTGAGCAGTGGTTATATTCTCTGGAAGATGAAGGTCTTGTAATTCTGGGAAGATTTAGAATTAAGTCCATCTTAAGAGCTGTGCTGTAAAAGGCTGTCTCCTTCAAAATTCAAACTGAAAGTTAATTCTCAGGAGAGGAGTATTAAGAGGAGCTTTTAGGGGGTTATCAGGCCAGGGAGGGTGCCCTCATGGATGGGATTAGCATCCTAATAAAGGGATTTGGAGAAGTGGGTGTGGCTCCTCTTCATCCTTTCTATCCATTTTACTAATGAGGACACAGTTGCCCCCTGGTGAATATAGCAACAAGGTTCCATCCTGGAGCAGAAAGCAGCCTTTACCTGTCAGGGCACCACCAACACCCTAATCTTGGACTTCCATCTACAACTGTGAAAAATAAATATCTGTTCTTGTTTTGTTCCTTGAACACAGGGTTTGCCTCTGTAGCTCTGGCTGTCCTGGAACTTACTCTATAGACCAGGCTGACCTCAAACTCAGAGATCCACCTACCTCTGCTGGGATTAAAGGAATGTAAGACCACCACCCAGCAATATTTCTTCTTTTTGTGTTATCTAACCTCAGATAATTGGTTTCAGGAGCACATATGAGCTACAGGATCTAAGAAAGGAGATCTTTAGGACTAAATATAAGAACAATTGCTGGACATAGGGGTGCACACCTTTAATCCCAGCACTCGAGGCAGGCGGATCTCTGTGAGTTTGAGGCCGGGCTCGACCGACAGCCTCCAAAACAATACAGAGAAACCCTGTCTCGTAAAAACCAAAAAAAAAAAAAGAACACTGTTTCTCGGGCTGGAGAGATGGCTCAGAGGTTAAGAGCACTGACTGCTCTTCCAGAGGTCCTGAGTTCAATTCCCAGCAACCACATGGTGGCTCACAGCCATCTGTAATGAGATCTGGTGCCTCTTCTGACATCCACTCATGGAGGCAGGATGTTGTATTCATAATAAATAAATAAATAAATCTTTTTTTTTTTTTTTACGAGACAGGGTTTCTCTGTATTGTTTTGGAGGCTGTCGGTCCAGCCTGGCCTCGAACTCACAGAGATCTGCCTGCCTCTGCCTCCCGAGTGCTGGGATTAAAGGCGTGCGCTACCACCGCCCGGCCAAATAAATCTTAAAAAAAAAAGAACACTGTTTCTCCAGAGGACTTGGGTTTGCTCCCCAGCACCAACATGGAGGCTTATAGCCATCTGTAATTCCTATCTGAGGGGATCCAACACCATCGCCTGGCACTAGGCATGCACTTGGTACACAGGCACACTTATAGGCAAAACACCCATTTAAAGCTTAAAAACAACAACAAAAACAAACAAACAAACAAAAAAAAACCCAAACTATAGCTGAAAAAGCCTCAGTTAGAAGATGAACTTCGTTTGAGTAATGTCCAAAGTGAAAACAGTCATTTGTATCTGAAAGAAGAGTACTCCAGGCAAAGGGAACAGCAGATGCATAGGCCCTGAGGTGGAACCAGCATGGAGAAAGTTGGGAGAGCAAGCCAAGAGAGCAAGCCGCTGTGTAGCACATCTAGAATGCTGCTCGGCGGCTGAGGCAGGGAGAAGCAAGCCCAAGGCAGCCCTAGGCCATTCAGAAAACCCTCATCTCAAAATAAATTTACTTTAAAAAAATGTGGCTGGGGATTGCCAGGCACTCAGGATCCCAGCACTCAGGAGGCAGAAGCAGGTGGATCTCTGTGAGTTCGAGGCCAGCCTGGTCTACAGAGTGAGGAGTTCCAGGACAGCCAGGGCTACAGAGAAACTCTGTCTGGAAAAAAAAAAAAGTAAGGGGTCAAGCCGGGCATTGGTGGCGCACGCCTTTAATCCCAGCACTCGGGAGGCAGAGGCAGGCGGATCTCTGTGAGTTCGAGGCCAGCCTGGTCTACAGAGTGAGTTCCTGGACAGCTTCCAAAACAATACAGAGAAACCCTGTCTCGAAAAACCAAAAAAAAAAAAAAAGTAAGTGGTCTGGGAATGTATTCCAACAGTAAAATATTTGCACAGCATATGCAAGGCCCGGGGTTCAACCCAGCAACACACACACACACACACACACACATACACACACACACAAAGTGAGCCCAGTTCCAATAAGGCCTTGAAGACTTATAGGTCTTCTGAGCCTTTGGCTTTTTTTGGTAAGATATGGGGGTGCCATTAAGACTTGGAGAGGGCTGGGCATATGGTTCATTAGTAGGGTGCCTATGTAACATGTATGCAGCCTTGGGTTCAATTCGAGCACAGATCCATGCCTGCAACCCCAGCACTTGGCCGGTGGCTGTAGGAGAAACAGGAGTCCAAGGTCATCATAAACTACTTAGATTTTGGGTCAGCCTAGGCTACATGGGGACCTTGTCTTCAAAAAGAGAAAACATTTCTTTAAAAATCTGGGAGAATTAAAAAAAAACTTTATATCAACCTTTTTTAATATTAAAGAATATAATTATGCCATTAAAAGATTTAATACAGACTGAAATTCGACTAGTTCATCCCAATACACCCAAGGTGGAGATAGGATCAAAATTTCAAGGTTAGCCTGAGTCTAGTTTAAAAAAAAAAAAGGTACCTTGGGTAGTAGATCAGTGTTTACCATGGTTTATGAATGAGCTTTGGGAGCCCATTCCAAATAGAGGGATGCTCTCTCAGCCTGGACACATGAGGGAGGGCCTAGGTCCTGCCCAGGATGAAATGACAGACTTTAGAGATCCCCCCCAAGGAGTGCCTCACCCTCTCTGGGGAATGATGTGGGGGGGCTGGAGGGCTGGGGGAGGGACAAGGGAGGAGGGGTGGGAGAGGGAGCTGGGACTGACATGTGAAACATTCACGTTTCTAATTTAAATAAAAACATATATTGAGAAAAATAGGTAAATGGAAGTAAGATTTAAGTGATAAATTCAGTGAAGGTTTTTGGTTCTTGGAGGCTGCAAGAAAAGGAGGGCTTGAGAAGTTGTCCCCACTCCCTGCCTATGGATGAAATTCCGTGCTTAGAGTCTTTCCTTTGCAAGGGAGAATAAACGGCCTGGACAGGTAGCTGTCTTATAAGAAATTCAGTGAACTATTTCATGAAAGTGAAACCACTCCATTTACTAAAGCCCTGCAAACATAAAGACTTCTAGGTGTTAGCGGTGTGTGCGCTTGGGTGCCCGCTAGGTGTGAATCCCATTCCAAACACGTCTCAGAAAGACGTGGAATACTGCTAACCGCACGGTCAAGGGCGAGTAAGCGCGCCAGAGCGCGAAGGGACCAAACCAGACAGTGTCGCCAGGTGGGAGATGCCAGGGACATTCTCCCGGGAACCAGCTGGGGCTCCATACTTCTGTCCTCGGTTCTAAGCTCGGAACCGTCGCGTCGTGATCACAGCGAGAGGGTGGAGTGAGAACGCTGGGCTGCAGCGCCCCGCGCCCCGCGCCCTTCCCCCGCCACGGCGCCCGACGGCTGCAGACACGCCCGACTCCGTGGCGCCGCCTCCCTACCACCGCCGCTGCCGGGAGGCTCCGGCGCCTTTCCGCCTTTCCCGGGTCCCGGCCGGGGCGGGCGCGGGCGGCGACGACGCAGCCATTGTCCCGCAGCCGCGCCCGGGGCTGCCGCCGCCCGTGCCTCCTTTGTGGCCGTCGCCGGCCCTCGGAACCGCCGCTGTGCGCCCCGGCTGCAAATGGCGCCCGGCCGCCCCAACGCTGCCCCGCGCAAGGGCCACGGTTGCATCACTGGGGCGCACCCCGGCGGCCTCGCCGCCCTCCGCCAGGCTCTCGGCCGGGCCCGCAGCCCCGACGCCCCGGCCGCCCTCTGCCCGCCCGCGCCCTCGCAGCCACTTACCGCGGGGCTCTGGCCGCTCGTGCGCGCTGCGGAGTAATTCCCGGTTCCCGGTTGGGGAAGCACCCCCTTCCGAAGCCGAGGCTGTACGCCCTAAAACAAGTAGCCCCAACGTGGGAGAAACAAAAGGTATTTGCTGACGTGGGCGTTGGACAGAAACGCCCGAGGGCTGAGGACACAATTAAAGGGGCAACGCACAGATTTCAGGCACCAACCAGCGGCTTCGCCCACTCCCTCTGTCCGTGCCCACACCCGGCTGCACACTCCGCAGGCACTGGGGCGCCCAGATTCCCCAGCAGTTGACTGCGGGTCATTCTTTTAGTCGCGAGCTTAAATTTTAAAATTGTACTTTACGTTGGTAAAGGCGCCTCCGGAGGGCAGAAGGGCTGGATTTCTAAGATGTGGGGATATTGGTTTAAGGAGAGAGGGAGGGACTTAGGCGTGCCCACAATTACTGTATAAGTATATATGACATTAATGTACTTAAGTTTAGCAACATCAGATGGAAGAAATTTCCACAAAATTTTCCACTTTATCTAAGCACTTATTCTAGTCAGGGATAGCCCTTTAGGTCCCCTTCAGACCATTTGAAAAGGCAAGCCCAGAGAGGCCGAGATATTGAGAACATGATTCTTGGTATAAAACTAATAAAAATAAAAGGATTTGTGTTTTCAAATACAAAAATTGATCATATATCAAGCTTTTCTCCTGACATGTCCCTAATATTTAGACTGCAAACATCAGGTAAAATAGTAGATTGCTCAATTTTCACTCTACATAAGCATAAATTCTATAAACTAAATTAATTTTATATTTCCTCATACTGGTTGTCAATTACTGTGAAATAGTATATCATGATGAAATGGGGGTTACTCAAAACTTCAAAGCATGCATTTAACTTTTTAGGGGTTCCTCTCCCAAGTCTTTTTTTTTTTTTTTTTTTTTGGTTTTTCGAGACAGGGTTTCTCTGTGGCTTTGGAGGCTGTCCTGGAACTCGCTCGGCAGACCAGGCTGGTCTCGAACTCACAGTGATCCGCATGCCTCTGCCTCCCGAGTGCTGGGATTAAAGGCATGTGCCACCAACGCCCGGCCCTCTCCCAAGTCTTAGTTGTGCCTTTTAGGCTCTTGTTTCTATGGTGTCCTCACCGATTAGTTAGAACAAAACATTTGGTCTTCCCTGAATGTCACACCTGTTTACTCCAGAGTTGCTTTGTGATTTAGATGTATTTCCTTGGCTTTTGAGGTAAAGGAAGGAAAGGTAGCCAGGAAACTTGTGTGAAAATCATTACCACACCTTTAATCCAGCACTCCAGGAGGCAGAGGCAGAGAGGCAGGCAGATCTCTTGAGTCAGAAGCCACCCCAGGACTGCCAGAGCCACATAGTGAGACCCTGTCCTGAAAAAGAAAACCATTAGCAGTCAGCATTGCTGAATATGCTCACACTGTTCTGCTAACACCCCCATTGAAGATTTATCCCAGAAAAGCTGGACATTATAGTACCGAAAGCTTATTGCAGCCCTGGGAAAGCAGAGGCAAGCAGGTCTCTCTGTATTCAAGGCCATCCTGGTTTACAAAGAGAGTTCCACCCTGTCTCAAAACAAAACAAACATTCTGCAGCCAATTAAGCCAACCAGGAAGGTCCCTTTGCACCCTAGGGGACCTGGCATGCAATGGTTGCAAATAGCAGCCTTTGCCCATGTGGTTGTCCAAAAGGAAGTTGGAAACAATTCTCTAGCAGCTGTTCATATCTCTAATCTGGAAGCTATCCCTAATCTAGACTCTAGACAGGTCTGTAGGGTGCCTCTGGGAAGCCCCAGGGCACAGTGGCCATGGTTAATTTAGGCCAGGTCATCCTGGCTGTTCCAACCAAGCTGCCGGATAAGGATCACGTGATTGAGACCTTATCTGGAGCCAAGTTCAAGTTCCTGGCCGCCAGATTCCACATCTCAGAGTAGAGGGGCCCCACCAAATGGAATGCAGGTGAATTTGAAGTCATGGTTGCTGAGAAGCAGCTCATTCAGATGGCTGTGGGGTCAAATATGTCCCCAACTGTGGTCCCCTGGACAAGTGGCAGGCATTCCTGAGGACATTCACTGTGTTCTCCTGTACCCCACCAAATCATATGCAGTAATAAATGTCACTAGTTAAGGGTTAGCGTAATGCCAGAGTTCCTACAACTGCCACCCTGAACTGGGCTCAGGCTATCATCACTGTGTTCTCCTGTACCCCAGCAAGTCATATGCAGTAATACATGTCACTAGTTAAGGGTTAGCGTAATGCCAGAGTTCCTACAACTGCCACCCTGAACTCCTGGGCTCAGGCTATCATCACTGTGTTGTTTCAACCACCCAAGCAGCTGGGAAGCGAGGTGTGTGCCTCTGCATCTGGCCAAAGGTTTTATTTTTGTGTGAGTGAATTCAAACAGCCAACACAGCCAGGTGTGCTGTGAGGCCAGCAACTGGCCAATGTAAGCCAGCCTGGGCTATATGCCTGGACCTTTCTTCAAAAACAAGTGAACACATAAAGTAGAACAAGTCTGTAAGCATGCTTCTAGAGAGACCACGTAAGGCTGCTGATGCATTGTATTCCAAGGAAAAAGAAATGATAGTTTACCTTTTATCCTCATCCTCCCGACTTCAGTAATTCGCAATTCTCAATGCTTGTGTGTCGCCTCCTATTAACAATACTTATTCTTCCTAGCTTGCTTGTTTTGTTTTATTGCTTTCCTTATGTTTTTTTTGGGGGTTGGGGGGGGATGAGCCAGGACTTCTCTGTGTAGCTTTAGAGCCTGTCCTGGAATTCTAACTCACAGAGATCCACCCGTCTCTGCCTCCCAAGTGCTGGGATTAAAGGAATGTGCCACCACCATCCAGTTTGTTTTATTTTTCTTTTTTTTGTTTTTTTTGTTTTTTGTTTTTTTTTTTCGAGACAGGGTTTCTCTGTAGCTTTGGAGGCTGTCCTGGAACTCACTTTGTAGACCAGGCTGGTCTCGAACTCACAGAGATCTGCCTGCCTCTGCCTCCCGAGTGCTGGGATTAAAGGCGTGCGCCACCAACGCCCAGCCAGTTTGTTTTATTTTTCAAGATAGTGTTTCCCTGTGTAGCCCTGGCTGTCTGGGAACTCACTCTGTAGACCATGATGGTGTCAATCTCACAGATTCACCTGTCTCTGCCTCCTGAGTGCTGGGTTTAAAGGTGTGTGCCACCACCACTTGAACTAGTTCATATTCTTTTTTTTTTATTAATTTATTTATTATGTATACTGTTTTGCCTGCATGCCAGAAGAGGGCACCAGATCTCATTACAGATGGTTGTGAGCCACCATGTGGTTGCTGGGAATTGAACTCAGGACCTCTGGAAGAGCAGCCAGTGCTCTTAACCTCTGAGCCATCTCTCCAGCCCCCTAGTTCATATTCTTACAGAGGAGAATTCATCCCAATTTTTTAAATTTTTTATGTTTATGAATGTTTTGTCTGTATGTATATATTGAGGTTACTTACAGGAATATGGATGAGGGGTTACTTACAGGAGCCCCTTACCATTTATGTGCCTGGTGCTGGTGGTAGAAACCAGTAGAGGGCACCAGACCACCTGGAACTGGAGTTGGGATGGTTGTGGGACACCACATGAGTTCTGGGACTCAAACCCAGGTCCTCTGTGAGTCTCCAGTGCTCTTTCCACTCAGCCATCTCTCTAGCATCTCCTGCCAATTTTACAGGAATTTTACAACACCTACTATGAGCAAGGTGTTTGCTGCTGACTCTTGAAATACAATAGTGAATAAAAAACTCTTGGCCCAGCTGGGCGGTGTTAGTACATGCCTTTGATCCCAGCACTTGGGAGGTGGAGGCAGAGGCAGGCAGATTTCTGTGAGTTTGAGACCAGCCTGGCCTACAGAGCGAAGATAGACTCCAAAGATATACAGAGAAAGAAAAAAACAAAAAAACAAAACAAAAACTCTTGGCCCAGCATAGAGTTCCAGGACAGCCAGGGCTACACAGAGAAACCCTGGAAAGAAAGAAAGAGAGAGAGAGAGGGAGGGAGGGAGGGAGGGAGGGAGGGAGAGTAGAGGGAGGGAGGGAGGGAGGGAGGGAGGGAGGGAGGGAGGGAGGGAGGGAGGGAGGGAAGGAGGGAGGCAGAGTCAAGCCTGATGGTTGTTGTGTAACTGTCTGCGATTAAAACTTTCCATCTTGTAGGCGCTCTTTAAGCAAAGAGCCAAAAAACAAGAAACGCCCTGGAACTGGGCAGATTCCCTAGGGCCCTTCCTGTGAGAGACTGCAGAGCCCAGTTGTAAGGAAGACTCTCAGGCCATCTGAGCTGCCTGGAAGAGGTTTAATGCAACCTAAGGATCTGGAAAGGACACTCTCCAACCTGCTGAGCTGCCTGCAGGCTTTGCAGTGTGCTCCAGGTTCCCAGCTTTGTGAGCTGTCAGTCATGCTGGGGTGGACCTTGGGGATGCAGCTGTCTTTGAGTCATTTGTGCTCCTGTAAGTAGCCCCTCACCCATAATTCCAATAAAACTCATTGGTTCTCCAGGCTGAACTTTGGTGGTGTCTGTACTTTAGCCTGTCATGGGAACCCTATCTGGGGTGAGAAGATGAGTATGTTTCTACTCCCAGGAAAAGTTTTGTCACACAACAGTGGCCCACACCTTTCATCCCAGAACCTGGGAGGCAGAGACAGGTGGATCACTGTGAGTTCAGGACAGCCTGGTCTACAAAGATAGTACCAGCTAATCCGGGGCTGTCAAAAAAGAAAGAATGAAAGAGAGAGAGAGAGAGAGAAAGAAAGGGAGGAGCCTGGAAGAAGACCAGTTTTTGTCATCTGTTTTGTTTAGTGGAATAGCAGAGTCACAAAGATCATAAAACCAGCTTGGACATGTTGAGAATGAGGTGTCTCTGTGACACAGGTTGATGTGTTCATCCTTTCTGTATGTATGTCATACATTTTCAGGCTTTTCGTATGCATGTCATCTGAAAACCATTGTATGGAGAATTCCTTCCTTTGTGGTTAATTGATGGAAGTAGAAACTACCCTCTGTGTGGCTTTGATGTCTACCCTGACTTACTTTCCCAGAATTCCTTGCAGCTCCAATGGACACTGTTTATACTTTGACAATAGGATGTACCCTGTTGAAAAGGGAAGTACAACAGCAACGCACAAGAACAACAGAGGCAAGCCAGGTGTTGGTGGCCACGCCTTTAATCCCAGCACTTGGGAGGCAGAGGCAGGCGGATCTCTGTGAGTTCGAGGCCAGCCTGGTTTACTGAGTGAGTTCCATAACAGCCTCCAAAACAATACAGAGAAACCCTGTCTTGAAAAAACAAAAAC